CCCCCGCCGCCCGGTTGTTCCTCTTTCCCCCCCTGCCCCCCCCCCAAACTTGGAAGATCACTTTATTAATGTAGTAGGCTGCTACCAGATGGAGCAGAGAGGAATGCCAAGAACAGATCACTGGCTCCTTATGAAGCTCAGAGCCGCTCACTAACTTTTTCCAAGCAAGGAGTCAGCCCAGAGGTATCAAACTGCTTGCTCTGCATGGAAAGGCAAGGATCTTAACAGTGAGAAATGGGCCAGAGAGGTCCTTTGGGTCATCACCAGGAATTCCAGGTTTTACGGCTCCTGTTCAGAGCGGCTGTGCCCCAGTAAGACTGGGTCTAGGTGAGCTGGGCAGGGCAGCTGTCGAGCGGGAAGCCGCTCGCCCTGACTCAGCGAAGAGGAATGTCAGCCCTGCGATCCCCGATCCCCCGGGACACATCCTCCGGCACACACGCCACCGCCGTGCCGGGTGTGGTTTCTCTGCAAGGAAAGTCAACTCCTTGAAGGAAAGCTGGAGTCACGCAAGTACGGCAGATGGAGGGAGCGGGGACCCTGCCGACACACCTACGTAAGATATTTTTGGCAGTCTCGCTTAGCCTTTAGCCCCCTTTTGAGGAGGAAAAAAATGCAGTTTAGCCAGCGGGATGTGGAGATGCAACAGCGCAGCGATTTCCTCGCGCTCCGCGCTGCAGGGCAGCTTGAGCCAGGACTACAGCGAAGGTGAGCAGAGGGACTCGGTCGGCAGCACCGTCTCCCCGTGCACGTTCAAACAAAGGATGCTGCGCTCGTCAGGCCAGGCTGCCTCTCCTTGGTGGGGGAGGAGGGACCGCTGAGCAAGTAGGCCATTAACTTCCTGCCAGCTAGTCTGCAGCGGTAAGGAAATAAAAAAAAATCCCGCACTGTGGGGTGTGCAGGCGCAGAGACGGCCCCTCTGATCAGCCCTGCTCCAGCGGCAGGGGATGCACATGCAGCCAGAGCAGGGCTTTCCGAGCAGAGCTACATCCAACAGGGCAACGGCTTGTACATCGGCACGGATTCGGGCAAACCCACAGCTCTGAGATAAAGTCGAGCCTCGGGTCTCGATAAGATGTTCTCAAGGGAGATGAGCAGAACCACCTGGTAGCCAAGAGAGGCAGAAAAGGAGCCCCTTGCCCAGGGTACTGCTCCTTCTCCCCACCTCAGCACAGCTCCACACCCAGGCGTACGCGAGCTCCTCTCTGCATTTCAAGCAGTGGCACTGCCCAGTGATGTCTCTGAAGATGCCGACTCCCCAGACCAAATACACAGCTTTGAACCCTCAGACAGGATTTTCAAGGCACAGATTTGTGCTGCACGCTGAGCCACCGCCGAGGCAAAGCGGAGCTGCCAGTCAGCAGGGCTGTCTGGAAGGAGGGGACCAGAGCCCTGCTGCTGCAGGGACCACCTCCATTTGGGACCCACAGCTAAGGGACACAGCCCCGATCCCCCAACCGCAGCACAGAGCTCTGTTATCCCTTCAGCTCAACAAGTAAGAAATTAAAGCCTATATAACACACATATTTGGGAGCAGCTGGTCCCCTTAAACTTGCATGCAGTCTTGCCTGTCCTTTGCAGCCCAGCTCTCCCCCACCCTTCATTTACAGAAGCCTCAAACTTCACCTGGATATTGCCCTTCCTCCACTTCTACCTTTTAGTTCAAAGTGCTCATGTAAAGAGGTGATCCCAGCCTTGATCGCTGGTTCCAGTCACCCCAGTCCCCAGCTGAAGTCAGAAGGGGAATGGCGGGGAGGGCGGAGGCAGTCACCTCCGCCACCAACCAAGTTCCCGGCACTGATGGGCATGGGAGGGCAGAGGGCAGCGTTAACCAGCCACCTTCTTGAAAGGCTTCACACAGATTTATGGCTGGGGTAATGTCAGATAGGGAGGAAGCCCAGCCCTCTTCCTCCTGCTCTCTTGAAGAAAGAAACTCAGGAATTTGGCAGAAGGCCACAGCTCAAACAGAGGAGACCCTGTGCTAAGGCACATTCAGAAAAGCAGCCTCTTCCCTGCCAGGATAAACGTTGCTTTTCCACCCCCTTCTTGGGGGACAGAGGATGTTGCCCCTCAACTCCAACATCAGCAAAAGCTGTTCGGAAAGGGTGGGCTCCTGGGCTGTCCTTTGCCAGACTCACCTTGCCTGGACAGTTTTTTCTCCCCAGGATACTCCGGGGGCACCAGCTGAGAAGGAACCAAACCCACGTCCTCTGGCTGCCGCGTCCCTTCGCCCCACGTCTGGGCACTGCAATCGCAACCGTACAGCCTCCGCCCCGGCAAAGAGGGGGCTGGCAGCTGCTGGAGGCAAAGCCTCGTGTGCCAGCCGTTTTCAGCTGCTCTCGCTTCCATTCGCTTTAAGGCACGGCCAGGCAAGGTAGGAAGAATAAAGCATTTAATGCTGGTTTCTGTGCACAATTTGAACATCCAGGGCTACCCTGGGGTAGAGGCAAGACAGACAGCTGCCTCTTCTTCAGGAAGGCTGTTAAAGGGTTAAGACAGCAAGCCAGCATCAAAGGGAGCTCTCAGCAGAGGGGGTTGAGAAACTGAGATGGGTCGAGGTTGCGCAGACTCCTTGGAATCTCAGGAATTTCCCATTATTATCCCACTTCCCTTCCAGCAGCCCGGAGGGAGAGAGCACACGAACAGGACCCCAGGCCCATCCCTAGGGCCAGAGGCAGAAGCACCAGGGGCTGGCATGCCCCAGCGCCGCGTGCCAGGCAAGGTGCTCTGCCAGAGCTGGCATCAGGGTGCCCATGATCCAAAGAAAGCTTTGGTTCAGGACACTAAGAGCAGCCCAGGGTCTTATCTGCTGCAGCTCTCTGCAAATCAAGGTCTCAGCCTCACAGATCCAGGCTGGCTGGACCGCTGGCACAGTAGGTTGAGACCTGCACAATCCAAGAACAAGTGTCCCTCTAACCAACAGCTCGCCCTGCCTCAGACCACAGGTTTCCCCCTCATACTACTCCAGTACTCCACACAGTTCCCAGTTTCACTTCAGAAGCTGGAGCTCTAAGAGTGGTGGTGGCACTACGGTGGCACTATGGCCCATACAACTAGATTACCAAGAGTTATTTGCTATTTTTCATACCATCGCCACCCTGCATTTCAGGTGAGATCCCATGACACAACCACTACCAGCTGAGACTTGAATGCTACAAGTCTCATCCCGGTTTGACCAAAGTTTTGATGGTGACTTGTCCAAGGTCATCAGACACCCACATCAGCAATAACCAACCTACAAAAGAGCTACAGAAGTGGGAAGCGTTTGCTGAGGCACCACATGGCTGATGGCCGTACCGCTTCTCCTTTCTACTCATCTTCGACATTAACAGGGTAATACCCATCTTACAAGGCTGTTGTCAGGATTAATGTTTTTAAAGTACTGTGTGAACGAACCATGCGATACAAGTGCTTAGTATTACGTTATCTAATTTTCCTTCTAAGAACTGCTAATGTATAAGAAGCAGCTACAAAAATCTTACTGCAGAGCTGCTTTATAAACATTAAGAAACATGTCAGGCACCTAGAGCTCAGTGCTTCCCTACGGGCTGAGGAGGGACAGCAGAGCCCAGAAAGCTGTGCACAGTTAAGGGTCCTTCCTGATAAGGAGGAAAAAAATGAGTGAGCATCCACCACTCAGAAGCAGCCTGAAAGATCCGGGAAAGTGAACTGAGGTGTGGTACGGGCAGCTGCTCCCGCTGTACCCTGCTCTGCCTCCGTCCCCCGCACGCTGCTCAGGAGAAGGATCTTGCATTCACGCTGTGTTTACCTTCAGATGCATTTACCTTCGTAACATCCAGGGCGAATGCCAGCAGATGAGGGTGAACGCCCTTGGCCAGGAGCCCACCAGCCCAGCAGAGCACCGGCTGCAGTGACACCCGTGCCCCTCGCTGTTCACACACCCCAGTCCCCCTGCACAAAAGGGCATTTCTCCTCTCCCCAAACACCTGTAATTCAGCTGGGGTGGTATAAACACCTTTTTATTTCTCCTTCCTTAAGGGGATACCGATTAAGATCGGCTCCATGTAAATGCCTGCCTATATTTGAATTTTATTCACCTTTTGGCTGCCCAGGCTGGACCTGGAGCTGCAGCCATCAGCTGGCATTTAAGCCTGGAAAACACTGTTTTAATACTGGCATTAATTGGCCTGTGTGACCCCTGCAGCCAGGGCTTCACATGCACTCCCAGAAAATGCTGCAGAGCAGCAGGGACAGACAGTTTCTGCAGAGGTCAGGGTTCCCCACAACTCATTTCAGGAGGTGAGGACCAGTGCTCAAGAGAGAGGAGGGTCCAGCAAACCCTACGGCATCTCCCAGGCCCGACGCTTTCTCGGCAGCAAGAGCCGGTAGCAGAGACTTACGCGTTGCAATACGGCTTCTTCTCGTAGCCCTTGTAGTTTTTCATGTTTAGGGTCATCTTGCAGGTCTCGCAGTGGAAACATGCTTTATGCCAGAACTGGAAACAGAGACAAGAGAATCATTAACACAAGTGACTTGCAAAACAGGGCCACGTCCCACTAGAATCGCACAACTCAAACTCAGCGGCTCCTCCAGCCTAGAGATGTCAGTGATAACATCCACGGCCCCTGCAAAACCTAGAGGGCAGACAATATTCTTGCTAGTTTAGGACACAAGTAAATCCCCCCTGACCCTCCCAGTGCATCTTATCTCAACAGAGCAGCAGCGTTTGTGACTTGCATTACAGTAGCATCTTGCTTCCTTATCTCCAGACCAGGAATTCATTTGGCTCGGCCAAATACAGGATAGGAGAAGCCTCCTGCTACGAAAGAGGCACAACATAAACCCCTGCAAGCAGGGAGGCTGTCAGCAGAGTTAGCAGCTGTGGTTTCTAGGCTTCAAAGTTGCTGCTTGAGATTTTTTGCTGATGTTAGCCAAGAGATAGCCAGAAGAGCAGGTCAGGTGGGGCTGCACACAGGCACTGAGTGAAGGAAGCGAAGACAGAAGAAGAGGTTCTCATGAGAAGCAGACGGTCCAACGAAGACGGCTCGGAGGTCCTCCCTGCAGATACCACCCTTCTGCCTGCAACTCGGGTGGCTAATCCCCAACTCACAAACCCTACGGCCCCAGAGGATGCCGGATCACCCCAAGCGTTCCCCGGCCCTGCTCTCCCCACGGTGGGGCCGTCACGAGCTATGGCCGCTCTTGCCACCCCTGCATCCTAACGCAGGGCAGGGGAGACAGCCATGAGGAAGAGGAGCTGCTAGCCCGATGCTTCGGTGAAGGCAGGTTTTGCATCCTCTCCCTCACAGCTCTTGCACCAGCAGCCTCAGGTTGACCCCGCCTGAGGTCTGTCACCCGAACACAGCGGTGCAGCACAGCTCTGCTTAAACCAGCGAGGCGCACTCAGACCCAAGGCTGAAGAGACTCCCCGAACTTCAGATCGCAACCCTACATTAGGGGTTGCAACACTTGATGAAGAACTGTTTTAAGTTTTTAGGGCTACTCGTAAAGAAATTATTTCCACTTGGCATTTAACCAGCCCGAGTGGCTGTCTAGGCTGGAAGGAGCCCGATAGGAACAGCTCAGAGCCGCTACCAAGGAATTCTGCAGTTCTACCCCAGCAGACCAAGGCTGACGCCCCGCCAGCCGCCAAGCGACCGGACTTTGTGCTTCCCCTGGCAGCCAGCGCCACCGGGACTTGAGGGGTCCGGTGTGGCTTCCCAGGGACCGGACCAGGCACCGCAGAAAGGAAAGCGCACAAGAGCCTGGCTGGAGCAGCGCAACAGGGAAAGCACAGCCCAACGCAACGCCTTTACTCACTCGAGGTACGGTACTCCTGCCCTAGGGCTGCCCTCTCTGCTCAGCAGACCCCCCTGCTTCAGCCAGACCCCCCTGCACAGCACACAAACCGCCCAGCATCACCCTGCAAAACCAGGGAAAGAACAAGCCCACAGCCACATTAGCAGCTCATAGTACCAAGTAGATCAGAGTCAACAAGCCTGCAGCGTGACACCCAGGACTTGGAGCCAGGCACACATTTACCACGCAGTGAGCAAACCCAGGGAGGACAGCTGGCGGCTGTTGCTATGATTTCCACCCTTAAGCTTTTAAAAAATCATTTCCACCACTGCAACTACTGGCTCAGTCTGTGTTCCTGCAAGGAAGACGGCAAGAGCCAAGCCTGAGCCCTTGTGCCACCTACCCGCAGGTACCACACCCCGGTGCGCAAACACCTCCGCGGCTCTACCAGGCTGTGACTCAGCCCAGAAGGACAATTTGCCTCGTTTCAGTTGCTCAGAGCAACATATTTGTTCTTTTCCTCCAGTTAACACGAGTCCCTCCAGAGCCCGCCGCTAACGGCGAGAGGGGGCTTTCGCTGCACCATGCGCTGCTCCGGACCAGCGCCCTCGCCCACATCCAGCCTGCACAGGATTATTTTCCCCCTTCCCAGCCTTCAGCCTCTTTAAGGACAGACAGATCAACAGCTGAGTCCCGAGGTCTTCAGGCACCTTAAAGTTACAGCCTTTCGGTTGAGCTACTGCCACATTAGAGGTAATTAACAGACCTCTCCAAGCCTGTCAGCCATTCCTAGCGCTGTAATAGCTGCGCATAAATACCAGAGATGCTACTATAAATATGGAGAGATGAACTGACAGCCAACATGACTTCAGAGCCTCTTCCTCCGAGGAATACCCAGGCTCCCGAGAGCCAAGGAGGATCTGGCAAGGCCAGCTGTCCCCCTCGCCCGCAGCGGTCTCCACAATAAGCACAGCAGAAGCGATGCACTCAGGCGGCCTTCACCCCCAGCCAGAGAGCAATTAAGGCATATTCCTGCCTGGGTTTGCAGTAGGCATTGCTCAGCAGAGGTGTTTCTGTCCTGTGGCTCTTACGAAGGAGGCTCTGCAGCCCGAGCGGGCAGCCGAGCCCCCCAGAGAGCACTGCCCCATCTCTCAGCCTCGCTGCCCCTAAACTTTGTCTTACCACGGACAGCATTAACGCCAGATCCACGAATCTAAACCAGCACTAAAAGGAGGGCTGCAACCCAGAACTGACACAGGGAAACAGCAATTACGTAGGCTTCCAGTAACGCTGCCGCTCACCCTCCAGCACCGCTGCAGAGAAAGAGGACAAGTTTCAAATAGGTTTTTAGAGAAGCATTAACGCCTGTGCTTTCCAATTCCAAGTTTGAAGTGCTCCGAACATCTGGAGGCGATCCCAGGTACAACTGCACGGTGCAGCTCACCCCACGTCCCAGCAGGCCGTACTCCCCGAGAAGCACGCTGGCTGCAGTCCAGCCAGGCTGCTCTCGGAGAGACAGAGCCCTTGAAGCAACTTTGCCGCTCGCGGCAGACTAGATCTGGGCAGAGAGCTCGCAGCCACAGCACAGGTTGCTGCATCCATTTCTAGCTCCTGCTACAGCCGCACAGCATCCCTCCGCCAAGCAAAGCCATTGCTCCACACCTGGGAGCAAGCACCACTTGAGACTCAAGGGTTAGAGGACAACCTAAGGAGAGGCTCCTTGGGCTGAAGGGAAACCTCGATCGCGTTTAATGTGCCGTAACAGCTAATTCTAACTTCTACTCATTTTAGAAAATGTCATCTGACATCAGCTTTACGTGGGTT